GCCGGCGTACCGGAAACTGGTAGCAGCCGCCTCCGGTCTGGTCACCGTCCAATAAACACTAGAACTGGAAGCCCCGTTCCCGCGACGTGAGAATCACCTTCTGATGGCTGGAAGAAGCAGTGACAGCAGACTCACCAAAAGATGAAGGACGAGCTGAGCCCGATGGGAGACACCCGGACTTAAAGCGTCGACCGGAAGCTCGCCTGGCGGCCTCATTGATGGCGGATTGTAATGTTTGTAATCTGCAAGCAAACACATCTACTTGTGCACGAATCGTCCAGTATGTATGAAATTGTCTCTCCTTCTTTCTTTCTTTCTTTCTTTTTATTTACATTATTTTTCTAATCATAATAATTACAGAATCAGAAAGATTATAAATTTTAAACGATTCTTTAGATATCGATCTTACAGTTTTTGCAACAACGAAAGAGTTTAAGGATTCAATTCATAAGTGAATAATTCATAATCGAAGAAATAATGATAATTCCAATTGTGTAGATTCGTTTAATTCTCAAATATCTAAAGAAATCAAAAGAACACTTTTCAAATACATTCGAACTGTTTCCACGCAACGATCATTAATCGAGAAATCGACAAATTTACTACCAACAATACTCTCCATAAAACGTGTTCGACAAATACGTACATTGAAACATTGTTCCCAATATCCAACAATGACGTATTCAAAGACAATCGTTCGCAACACTAATTTACAAACGTCGTGTTTCCCTATTGTGACCGAATTTTAAGCCACCATCGTCCAAAACGCGACAAATTCACTCGTTCCGCGTAATCGCCGCATTGTTTTGTTACTTTCTCGTATTAAACCGTTCCTCCCATGGAATTAACTTTGGAATCCCTTGACGATAAGAACGAGAGAGGGGATACGACGTGGCGAACACGTGGAAATAAGTGTACAACAAAGCCGAGGTACGGCCGAGGTACATGTTGCTCGAATAATGGGGCGTTCGATTATAATGCACAGGCCGGATAATCGAAGGTTTGGATGGTGATCGTGCGAACAATGCTGATAGCGTTTCTGAAAGGATTTCGACCGGACAATGCGACGGTGATTCGAGTTTCATAGGGAATGAATGCGCGAAACCAATTCGTACCGCCGTTAACTCCGAATTTCAATGGCCGCCGTGGGAACGATCCCCGCGTAACGCCGCCATCTTACGAAATAGGAGGAAAAGGGAACGTGTCGTGTGCCCGTAAAAGGGGAAAACAAGAAAGGCTACTTTTCATCTTACTTTCATCGTGTACAAAGGGATTGGAAATTCTTTTCTGTACCTCGAGAATAGTAGTAGGATTTTAGTTCTAAATAAAAACGAGGGAATTTAGTGAACTTAGTGTCAAAGATGAAGAGAGTGTAAATTGCTCGAGAAGAAAATATTGAATTTTGTGAAAATAGCTCGATGTGATGTTTTAGGATTCAAGGAATTTGTAATATAGAATTTGGGGATTTTTAGTTGGGGATATAAATCTAGAGATTTTGCATTTTGATATAGAATCTAAAAAAATTAGTCGTGGTAATATTCAAGAAATTTAGATTTTAATATCGATTTTCGATAAAGAATCTAAAGAATTTAATTGTATAGAATTCTAATAGAGAATTTAGAAATGTTATAGAGAATTTAGGAAAGAAATAAATAAATAAGAAATTGTTTTCATTTTATGAGTATTACTGGATTTTATTAGAATCGATGAACGAGTAAAAATTTTGTTCCAATTTAAAATAGAAGGAATTGCCGTGAGCCATTGTTTACAGATTCTCTGTTGTAAAAGTAAATATCCTTGTGTTATTTTTAACCAGAGGCAAATTTCCAGTTCGAAAAACTGTTTTCGAGTTCAATGCTTGTGTTTAACCACCGATAATACGAGCGATTTATTAAAGAGCTCACGATTGAACATGAGTTTTATTTTATTTTTATACAAATTTTCTGGCCAGATTTTCCATTTCGAATTATTGAAAGAGAAAGAAAAATCCAAAAATCGTTAAATCAATATAAGTATAATAGTGTGAAAAAAGGATTAAAAAAATTATGCTTACTTTTCACATTGAAAAAAATTTGTCGAATTTGACGATATCCTTCAATTAAAAAATAAAAAATTAAAAATACTTTTTAAAATTGTACATCTGGCATTCGAAAAACAAAATGAATGCTCGATGGTGTTTTAGATATACACGAGGATTGTCCCATAAAATGGTCGATCTTTCAACGACAACAAAAATATATGAGCGAGTATGAGAATTGTTGGGATAGAGAAGATAAATACAAGGAGTTACGGATAATACGAATGGAGGGCGGAAGCTCGAAGCTCTTCCGCGTCTCGGAATTAAATTCGACCAAATTCTCGGAATCTCTAGGATATTTGGTCTGCGCAAATCCCTTTTTAATGAGATAAAAGGCTCGCCAGCGGAAGACTAAATAAATTTATACTCCATTAGATATCATCCGGAGCCTGTTAAATCCGACTGACTCAACGATATCTTTAAAAGAAACGATCGATCAGACAATTTCTAATTATATATACGATATGATTTAATATCTTTGAAGGAAACGGTATGAAAGGAAGGATGGAATAATTGATAAAATTAATGTGACACGAATTGTGGAGATATTTATACTCCTTCAAAGATCGATATGATATTTTAAAAATAATTTAAAAGATTTACCTAAATTAATCCATGCTTGTCGAATAAACTTGTTCATTAACTCTATAAAATAAACTCAACTTTTCAATTTATTAACCAATTTAGAATTTTAAAGATACATACAGATTAATCCATCTAAAAATCCACCTAAAAATAAATCTTACAACACAATAACTTATTAAAAAATAAAAAAAATTCTAGGAAATACGACTGAACTTCCACCAGAATAATTATTCGTGATTTTCTAACTAACCTACAATTAAAATCGACTTTAATCTTGTTCGTATAACCCATCAAACAAAACGTCATCAAAATATTCGTTCAATCGAGAATTCGTTGGAAAATATCTCCTGAATATTCGTATCCAGATGAGAAACGTTAGAATGGCGGATGAAAAGCTGAGGTGAATCGGTCAACGAAGATGGCGGCGTATGGGGATATGGCGTCGGAATTACGAGATTTCGTGAAATTTGATGGATCGCGTTATGGCAGGGGAAAACAATTTATTAAATTATTCCCCAGGGTATCGTATCTGGCTGATACTCGTCGCAATAAATACGTAATTTACGAACGGCGAGTTCGATTCTTTTCAGTGGCGCACGAATCTTCCTCTCTCCCCGTTCAATTTCGCCACTCGATTGGATTGGCCGGTTGTTCTAAGTTTTACAGACCGATCTATGTTGGATCAACACCGCCACCTGTGGCGCTAATACAAATCCGGTAATGTTGCTGGCTATGAATACATGAATATCAACCGGGGAAGAAGTCGATACATATGTACGTTTACCCCTGTTAACCCGACACCAACTTCGATCTGCATACAGGTATCGCGCGAATGGAAAGCGAGCTGTTTGATATGTAGACAGGAACGTATATCTGTCGAACATCCTCGCGTGAAACGGACATCGAAACGATTTAATCTCTCGTTCCTTTCGTTCATAGTATCTTATTTTTTAAAGAATAATACAAAATTTGTTTTATGGAATTATTATCAATGCCTTCGTGATTATCATTGATTTCGAATTGCTTCTTCTTTAGCAATATATTATTACGTAATTTCTTATGGTTCTTCGAATATTTAAACAAAATTCTGTAAATGCAATTTATATTACATCATTACATATTTTTCAATTCAATCCTCTTTCCACGAATCACAAAATTAAACGAAATTTCTTGATAACAAGAATTCAGGTAATCGTTATTTTGTTATTGGAGAGGAAATAAAAAAGACACGTATAAAAACGCAAGGCGGTGCGAAACTAGCAAGTTTTTTTTTTTTTTTTTATATTTCAAAAACGAACGAGGAACAGTCGTGGCGAATTCACAGCATTCCTCAGGAGTAGTTCGCCCGCGTCCGCTTTGGCTCGTTCCCCAGAAAGGGACGTCGAAATCGCACGTCCGCCCGGGAAAAAGTTATTCCCACCTACGAGTAAAATCCACGCTACGTGACTTTCCGCATGGACAGCGACAGACGAACCGTTTTCCAACACTTTAACAACGTCTTTACCGGTTCTACACCGCCCCTGTTTCCATCGTTTCTTTCGTTTGCCCCCGATTCCGTGACAGAATCGCGCCAATCGCCTCTATCACGCGACCGCCAATTAAACAAACTTTATATCTGGAATAAAACCAGATTGGGAATAATTGTTTGGAAACTTGTGATTATTGGTCGATGAGTTCGCGCAGGATTTTTATTTTTTTGCAAATTTTTGTGATTTTGCTGGCTGGTTTTATTGGAAATGGACGTATTAATAAGAATGAAGTAATTTTTGAAGTTTCGAGATTAGATTGATTTTGATTATGTTTAATAATAATTGAACATATTATTCGAGAGAAGAGGAAAGTATTGTAAAAAGATATGTATGATTTTTGTTAAAGAGAAGAAAAGAAAAGGGATAAAGATATTTAGTTTTAGAAAAAGAAACAACGAAATTTGCGATTGATTGGACAATATATTTAATTTAGAAATCTAAATTTAATTTAAAAATCTAACAAATTTGATTTTGATTTAATTGATAAAAACGCGATCAAATATTCTGAAATCTCTAAGTATAATTTTTCTGCTGGTTCATCTAATGTTAGTGTTTACTGATGAATAAATAGAAAATTATTAAACATTTCAACCATAGAACTTGAACAAAATTATTATTATTAATTTAAATTTAGTTCGCTTATTCAACGAAAGAAAAATATCAGTATTCATTCAAAGAGCAACTATTGATAATATTATTAAGAAGACCAAATATTATCATATAATATTATGAAGTTAAATAATAAATTTTTGTATCTCTCTTTAATCAATATTATTAATATTATTATATTTATCAATTTATCTTCAATATTTTTCAATCAAATAAAAAGACACGTATATTTTTAATTTTTTAAAATTTACACAATGACTTCTCGCGTAAAATATTTTTACTTTCTTTCAAAAAAACATAATTTAAAATATCAATTCTTCGATTTTTCATTAGCTTTATCGAAAATATACGCAATTACAATTATCGTACAATTTTCATAAACCTAAGAAAAATGTACAAACTTATTACTCAATCTAACATACAACAGACATAACTTTACAATAACAACGAATTTTTAATTTGAAGAATCATAAATCAATTACTATTCATTCAACGAAATCCCTATATTTTATCCCTAAAACAAAATAAATCACATTCCTCCCCCCTTTCAAATTATCTTCCAATCGAAGCGATTTGAACGAAAATCGAATCGATACACGCTCGTCCAAACTTTCCTCCGTCACGTCAGACATTAGGATAAGCTTCTCTGGAATCGAGGGGTGAATTGGGGTGTCGTGTCGATCGAGGTCTCGACGAATACAGATCATAAAAGTTCGCACGGTATATAAGAATCAATTCATCCACTGGTCTCGACTTTGGTGCACGTGCGGGTGTCGATCGATTTAACAAATGAAGGCGAGAAAGAGGCAAACAAAGGGGTCCAGATATAGTGGCGAGAGAGAGGGGAGGAAGGGGTTGGAAAGAAACGGGTGGAATTTCTGGTGGCACGTTTCCACGTTTCGACGGTTGGTCGATGGCCGCGGGGGTCAAACGAAACTCGTTTTTCATTAATTGAAAGTAAACTTTGAGAAAAGGGTGAGGCCGACTCCCGAGGAATCTTTCAACAAAGTCATTGAAATTGAATTCGAGAAGTTTGACGTCCGTGCCATTTGCTGCAAATTTATCGGTATGCAGCGTTAATATCGTTTCATCTTCGTTTTATTTTATACGCGGTTTTATTAATTGTAGGTATTTTCAAATCTTGGCTGGTGTGTGATTTTAGTAAGGAGAGGGAAGAAAGTGGAGATATGATGACAGGAAACGAGATAGAGGTAAGAATTTTTTTTATTAAATTCTTCCAAGAAAGATGAGAAAGATTTTTTTCATATTTTTTGCATGCGTTCAGCCATTTCAAATTTTGTTGCATTTTTCGCTGTTTTTCGACTGTTTTTTTTTTTTTTTTTTTGTATTTATCTATAAGGGACCCTCTTCGATTTTTGATGCCGCATGTTTTGTGACAATACTCTGATAAATTTGAGAGTTTAAAGAGAATCGATTCTAAATAGAATAACTTATGCTTTAACACATCGATTAACGGTTTAATTTGAGACCAAAATTACAGAAAGTTTGATTATTTTTTTCTCATGGTATCACTTTGAAATACCGTGATTGTTTAATTAATTTTTAATATTTTTATGTCGTTTCAATTAACGACGAAGAATTAGAAACGAAATGTGTGGTTATCAGTCATGGATTAATATTACGTGGTATAATTATTTGAAAGAAATTATTCAAACGAATCAAAGAAATTTATTTCTTTTTTAATCATAGTTAATGTACATACTTAGTGCATACGTAATTCTACATTAATGCATTATTTCTTTATGGAATATTTAGACTTTTAATCGATATTCGAAATTTAACGGTAGTTAAACTCGCTGGATTGCTCTTCTCATGCGTATTCATAAGATATTACGACGTTTAATATTCATAAGCTACGCGATACTTTAAACGGCACCGCCTCGAATCAGACTGGTAACTATAAGAAAATAAAACGGTAGGGAAAATTCGTTTTCCGACTTAAATAACCAACCCGTATTTCAACAAGAATTCCTTTTTCCGTCTTCTGTTCTAAAATAATTAAAAATCTGTTGGACAATAATTATTAAATTCATATTTGCAATTTAAATGAAAATTAAATCAATGAATTTAATAAAATAATATATAATATGCAAATATCGTATGTAAATTAAAAAGAAAAAAAATGAAAATCGAAAGATCTTTCTTTTATATTATTGAGGATTAAATTTATATTTAAATCAATTTATCGAGATCATGAATTTTTTAAAATAATTTGTCAAAAATTTTTCTACAAATTCTAATTTTTTAATCTAGATAGATTCTGATATAATTTCCAGTTTGGGAAAAAATGAAATATTATAAAAATGAAATATATAAGCTATTGTAATTTCCAATCTTTTTAAGTAAAAGTTTCGTTATTTTTTGACGATTTCTCTCGACCAATAAACCAGCTAAAGTAGGGATTCTTGATATAAGACTCTTGAACTAAAGTGAAAGCACTTATTGAGCGGTGAAAAAGAAGTTCATACTAGTGCCAACTATTGTTGATATCTTTGGATCTGAAGTTTCTCTCGAGCTGGCGCGTCTGAAAAATATTTCCGGTTCAATTTGAACTTCGCAAATAGATATATGAACATTTAAGTTCGATGTGCAAGAAAATGTCGACGTTTGACGGATAGAAACTAATTAGTAACTTCGTGAAAATCAATTTTGCAGCGACAATCGGATTACAAATTCCCTGCAACTCAGAATCGCGCAAACTAATGTCAACAATGTCTATACAACTCTCTATTCCGTTCTTCGTCCAGTAAACTGTCAGATGAAAATTTCCATTCCATTTCATCGTATTTTAACTTTACTATACTTATAAAAGTTTCGTGGACGATAATTAAATTTTTCCCTCCTCGAGATTATATCATTTTTATCTCTTATTATTTTCAATCAAAATATTTTGTTATACTATTTAAATTTCTTTCATTCACTTTTCCTTTAAATAAATTTATAAATATAAATACAAATTCCAAAAAACCATACAAATTTTTACCTAAATTGAAGACAAATAAGAAGAATTTAAACTATTAGATAAATAAATGCAAGAAAATTAAATCTAAAAATAATAGATAAAAATTGAGTCTTTCATCATAAATTTAATTTTATTGTCCCCACAAATTATACAATTTTAAAATTGTTCCCACGATTACACATATTTTCATGCACACATTCAATCAAATTAAGAAAAAATAAAAAATAAAGAATAGAAAAACTGTAAAAATTTCTCTCGCCCTAAATAAAATCAATCGTTCAAATTTTTGATCTATCACTGTTCAAATTTAATCGTTTCAATTTAAAATTGTT